TAAATCACTTCGGTCACGCGCGTGGTCGAGGCGGCGGTCGCGGCGCGCAGCGTGCAGCCGTGGCGTGGGCCCGAGCCGGCCGAAGCAGTCCACATTGCGACATGAGTGTTGGAGGAAGTGAAGAGCAGCGCTTCCAGACTGCGACATTCTGGCCATTCGCCGCCACAGGTGCCGTCGGGTGCCGTGGTGGCGATCCTGCTGTCTGCAGCGCACAGTCATTTCGAACCGCACTCGCCCTGTCGGGACGCCCCACGAGTGTGAGGGAGACAGCGACGATTCACAGTGGGCCGACCGGTGGAGACGGCCAAAACTCCAGACGCGTTTTGAGCTCCAGGGTCGCTAAATGGGCCTCGAACCGAACGTGTTACCCCACCAATGGATTTCTCGTTCGGAGAGCAATCCATTGGTGGGGTCACACGTTCGGTTCGAGGCCGATTTAGCGGCTCTGGAGCTCAAAACGCGTCTAGAGTTTTGGCCGCCTCCACCGGTCTTCTGGCCCACTGTGCGATTGCGCTGTTCGGAATGAGCCGGCTCGGTGGCGCGGTGAAGGCCGAAGGGAAGGTCGAAGGGAAGGGCTCGCGGAGGACGCCGAGGGCAGGGCAGAGATGACAGTGTGGGCACCATGAGCGCAAACCGGATCGCCGACTTAATCGCTGCCGGCAAGGCGTCGTCCGAAGCACAGTCATTCCGAGCAGTCTCCGTCTCGCTCGCACCAGTGGGCCGAGAGAGACGGGGCACTGTTGGGAATGGGTGTGCAGGGCGCCAGACACTGCGAGGACTGGGCCCCCTCCTCCTCCACGCTCGGTCCGTCCGGCACTGAGAGTCAACGGCCGCCTCCGCCGGACAGCAGACGGCATCAGACTCCGCGGTCCACTGCGGCGCCGCGGCCCGATGCCCGCGCGCCCGGTGACGGCCTGTCGCCTGTCAATGGAAATTCCCTGCCTGCGTTTGTTGGCCGCCATTTTCCTCTCATGAGAAAACTTGAGAGGATGGAGGAAGTCGCACCGAGTCGCTCGTGGACAAACACGATGCCGTCACTGCCATCGACCATCCATCTTTCCATCTAGCGACGGCCTGAAGAGTGTGCCGGTGCTGTATGCGCGCGGGTGGAGCATCGAGGAGCAGTGTCGCCGCGGCGCACAGTGAGCCAGAGGAGCTGTGGAGGCGGCCAAGACTGTAGACGCGTTTTGAGCTCCAGAGTCGCCAAATAGGACTCGAACCGAACGTGTGACCCCACCAATGGATTCCTCGTGCGGACAGCAATCCATTGGTGGGGTCACAAGTTTGGTTTGAGTCTTATTTAGCGACTCTGGAGCTCAAAACGCGTCGAGAGTTTTGTCCGCCTCCACCGGTCTTCTGGCCCACTGTGCAGCGATCTTCTGGAAGCGCGCACCGCCAGGATGACTAGGGTGACCAGCGCGGTGTCGGGCCGCGGGGCGGGGGCGGCGGCCAGGCCTGCAGGCGTTGACCCACGCCCGGGTCTCGCTGGGCCGACCTCGTTAATGCCCAACGCGTACAGCAGAGCGACCTGCACGCCGAGAGCGTTAGCGAAGCTTCTGTCTCTGCCGCACTCGCGAGGCGCGCGACGCGCGGGGTGCGAGAGAGACAGAGCTGCGCATCGCGCTGCGCGCCGCGCGCCGAATACCTCGCCGGCCACGTGGGCCTGGGCGGCCTGGGCGGCCTGGGCCGTGGCCGTGGCCAGGGCGGTCTTAATCGGCGCGCCGTACGCCGGCCGGCCGGCCGAGTGTTTTGCTTTTCATTCTGGAGTTTTCGTCGTTTCGTTGGGATGCGGTCATTCACGGCAACGGTGCGGCAGCGCGGCAGCGTGCCGGTGCAGGAAAGTGGGCGAAGAGTCTTGTTTATGCGGACGGAATCTTCCACGGGAGGAGAGCGTCGTCGTGGACGAGTTGGTCGTGGTCGCGGTGCCTAGGCGAGTGCCCGCCGCCCCGCCCCGCCCCGCCCCGCCCCGCCCGGCGGCGAGCCTCCGGAACTGGACGCGGTTTTCTAGAGCCTTCAACGCACATCCCGCACTCACGGCGAGCAGCGAGCAGGGCCCCACGGACGCTGGAAACACCTGCCCGCACCTGCCGCTCCGGAGCGGCGGCGGCGGCACGCCTGGCTTACAAATTGAGCCGCGATGATAAATAACTAGATGCGTTGTCGGGGAAACCCCCCGGGAGAGTGACCTGTCCCGTACGCAGGAAAGTAGTGACTTTGAGTCTGTTTGCGCGCTTTGCGTGGGCTGAGGACGTCAGCGCGATCACATTCCGCCAAGGTGGCGGAAAAAAACAAGTTTTGGAATAACAGTGCAATGACGGGAAGCTCCGCACCGTCCTCCCGAGATCATCCTCCCCGAAGTCCGGTTTTGTTTTGGGTTTTTCGTTACTGTACGTACGGACCCTGTCCAGGCCCGCCCCCCTTTCCCCCCTCGGGCCCTGCGGACTTGACCGCCCGCGGCGGAGGTGCGGCCATCGAGACCGAGCAGGCCATGGGCAGCCATGGGCAGCCATGGGCAGCCATGGGCAGCCATGGGCGGCAGAGGCCCGCAGAATGCGGCAGCCAAGGCCCAAGGCTCGCTGCGTCGCCGGCGGAGGCCGTGCAGGCCGTGCAGGACGCTAATGTCAATTTAATGCGGCCGGCTGCTGGGCCAGGGCGGTCCAAGGTGACCACGGTTTTTATCCACAAGCTGCAAATTTACGACGAAAACTATTGAGTCATTATTGGAAATATGCGGCCGTGTCTGTTTTTTTCTCGGCGAATCTGGCCGCGCTTCCAACAGTGTAGCGTCGGCACTGATGCAGAGCCAAGTCCAGTGTCCAGTGACTGGACTCCAGTGACTGGACTCCAGTCGGGCGGGGCGCTTCGCTCGGCTATATCCAGGATCAAGGCGGAATATTCCAGGCGATCGTCCGGCTGGCAGGCCGAGCCAGGCCAAGCCAGGCGATCGCAGGGCTGGAAAGTTTCTGCCTCGGCCGCTATGCGCGCTGCTGCGTGCTGCTCGTGCCGCCCGTGTTGTTCCCGAACGTGTTTGTTGTCGTACAGGACTCGCCGCAGGACGGGACGCAGGATGGGCCAGTGACTCCGGGAACTCCTGCGACTCCGGCGCGCCTTCCTGCTCGCCGTGCCGGAGGAGCCGGAGGAGTTGGATGAGCCTGAGGAGTCGGATGTGCCGGAGGAACCGGAGGAGTCGGATGAGCCGGAGGAGTCGGATGAGCCGGAGGAGTTAGATGAGCCCACTGCAGTTTGGATGGAAAGACTTCACGCCAAAATATGGCGAGACATAAAAGTCTCGCCAAGATTTGGTCAGACCTGAAAGTCTCGCCAAAAGGTCAGACGGAAAGTCGCCAAAACGGTCATACACATCTGATGGCGAGACTTCTGGTCTGACCGGCCTTAGCCGTAACCGTCCGGCAACGGCCTTTCGGGGTGGTCGACACAAAGTTCGTCATTTTGGGTCAGACTTTTTGTATGCCGTTTTGTGGGAGACTTTGTCTGACCAAATTTGGCGAGACTTTCAGGTCTGAAACAAGCGAGATTGTCTGCCTCTGGAGTGGCGAGAAGTCTGACCTTTGGATTTGTAGTGCCGGAGGAGCCGGAGGAGTCGGAGGAACCGGAGGAGTCGGATGAACCGGAGGAGTTAGATGAGCCGGAGGAACCGGAGGAGTCGGATGAGCCGGATGAGTCGGAGGAGCCGGAGGAGCCGGAGATGAGCCGGAGGAGTCGGATGAGCCGGAGGCATGAGTCGGCGTACGGTCATCTGGCACTCTGGGCCGGACTGCCGCGCCGGGCTGCCGGGCTGCCGAACTGCCTCGCCGGTACACCGGCCGGGGCTAATGACCCGTCGCACTCCACATCCACACTTTTCTCTATATTTGGCTGCTGCGACTGTATTTATAGGCCCGTCTCTGCAATCGTGTGGACACCGTTGTGCCCGAGATGCGGCTACAGTCGAATCGGCCTAATGTGGAGAAAATGGTCCACAGTGGCTGAAGCGAAGCGAGATGAATGGCTGCGGCCCACCGAGGGGCGTCCATCGCCAACGGGATAACTTGGGGTGTTGTGATGGCGCCGCGGCTGTGCACACTCACTCCAAGAAAAGGCGAGATTTCGCGTGATTTAGACTGTCAATGCAGCCTGATCTCAAACGCCATGACTTTTGAACCGAGTCTGTAGACATTTTGAACAGAGTCCTCCTGAGTCTGTAAAAATTTTGAACCAAATAAATTTTATCTTCTTTTAAGACGGTTTTGACTCGGCCAATGACACCAGGTGTTTACAGTGTCCCAGTGGTCATCGTTTCAACATGAAAATGATTGACCATGGTCATGTGCCCACTCAACCTTAATTTTCCTTAAAGAGCCAGAACCAAGGGCGGGGAGTCTATCGCAACAGAGTAGGGGAGCAAACCATACCTCCCCGACCGGCCGGCCCCCCGTCCCCACCAACGTCCCCACCTCCCTCCACGAGGCCCCCTAGGCGCGGCCCGGCCGGCCGCCTGGTGGGCGCCGCTCTGCGCCGCTCTTCGGCGCGATCACCGCCATTCCCCGTGCAGAACTACGGCGGCGAACGCCTTGCCGCGGCCGCCACACTGACCTGACGCAAAGAACCGAAATAAAGCAGTGTTGCGCCCCGCGGCTCAGCCAGGCTCAGGCCAGCCCGGCTCCGCGGTGGCGGTCCGGTGGCGGCACGGTGGCGCGGAGCAGCGCGAAGCCGGAGCCGCGAACACCTGCACCGCTGCAGCGGCGTGGCCGCGTGGCCGCCACAGCCTCCCCGGCGACCGCGGCACCGCGACGGCCGGGGCGGGGCGGCCGGGGCGCGGCGGTCGGGGCGGGGTGCGGTGGGGTAGTAAACAATGATCCGCGGGCGGGGCGGCGGGGCGCGGCGGGGCGCGGCGGGGCTGCCGCCGGGCCGGAGTGGGGGGCGGCGCGGGGCGGTGGGGGCGGCCGCTGGCCCGCTGGTGGGGGCGCCCTGGGCACACTTTATATATCGGCCGGTTCGTCGCGTCCCGATGCATAGAGTGGCCCTGAATCGCTGCGTGCCGCGTCGCTACGTGTCATTTCGACTCATTTCGCTCGGCCGGCAAGTCGAGCCGGTGTCGAGGCTGCCGAGACAGACTGTGCCCCCAGTGCCCCCAAGTGCCGCGCCGCCGCGCCCGTCGCGCTCCAGCCAGTGTGGGACTTAGTCTGCAGTGAACGCCCGCGGGCCACCCGTCGACCAGCTCCAGCGAAAAAGGTGAGTCGCGCGAAAGACAGAGAGAGGAAGATGCAAGCTGTGCCTCCCGCCGAGGCGCGCTTCGTGCATCATTCACTCCAGGACAGTGATAACGTATTGCGCCGCAGATGAGACAGTGAGGGATGATCAGAAGTCAGTGGCCGTGTTAAACATTCCAAAGTCACTCCGGGCGAAGTTCAAGGGGCCCTCGAAATGGTCAGAGGGCAGAGACCTTCGATTCAGTTCGTCGCTCTGTCTCCGTCGCACGCTTAGGGAGAGCCCCTGGAGTACGACAGAGACAGAGCAGGGTGGACCCGCCGCGCTGGCCTTTGCGCCGGGTGGCCCGCCCTTGGCTCGCCGGGCGGCGTGACGGGGTGAATCGGGGTGACTGCGTTACAGTGTGACGGACCGGCCGACGGAAAGGGCAATGGCTTCGCGGCTTGGCGGCTAGGCGGCACCTCTTTATGCAAATACTTCTAAGTAAAATGCTAACCGCTTTCGAGCTGAGGCGCGCTGATACAAATCACACGAGTAGTGTGTGTATATGTGTGTTGCGTCACTTTGGCATAAAGCGCTGCAAGAGTGCATCATCGGGCATCCTGTGAGGCGCGGCGCCGCGGCGGCGCGTGTTGTTGTGGCGTTTTGGCCCGCAACCCGTTCGCCGTTCGCGCGTAATTTGCGCTCCGCAAACGCTTCTAATTAGACGCCGCCTCCACGGCGCGCGTGCGTGTGTGTGTGTGTGTGTGTGTGTGTGTGTGTGTGTGTGTGTGTGTGTGTGTGCGCGCGCGCGCGCGCGTGAGTGTGTGTTTGAGCAGTGTGCGTGTGTGTGTTTGATGAAGGGGGCGGACGGCGTTTGAAGGTCGCGTGTCCGAGATGACCCGCCGCCGCGTGGCGCCGCGTGTCGTGTCACGGAGTGGCAGGATTCCGGAAAAAGGAGGCGGAGGCAGCAAACCGCGCACTGCATTCCAGAGCGAAATCGGCGCCGGCAGCCGACCACTACCGCCTAAAAAAAGTTACAAAAAACAACGACAAAAATCCAACAACAGCGAAAACCAGTCGCTCAAATGAGGAATCGATCTCTCATTGGCGCGTGGAAAAACCGCCGGCGGCGGCGGTGCGCAGCGCGCGGCGGGCGGGTTTGGCGTTCGGCTGGTTCGCGGTGTGCCAAGAAGGGCCGAGCCCTTGAGCCACCAGTGGCAGGGTTACGTCACGTCCACGTCAGCGGAGAGATGAGCACCCTCGGAGAGCGCCCGCGGCCCAGCCCGCCCCGCCCGCACAGCCCGCACAGCCCGCACAGCCCGCACAGCCCGCACAGCCCCAGGCACAGCCCCAGGGGCATCAGGACCGCGAAGCACGCCGAAGCGCCACCTGGTGGCGAAACTCCAAAGCACGGTCATTGGCCAACGAGGAGAGAGACGCTGCTGGGATGAGGCATCTTCGGGGACGAGACAAGACAGTAGGCAGTGTCGGTGCAACAGGGCCAGCCAGTCAGTCAGCCAGTCAGTCAGTCAGTGAGTCAGCCAGTCAGTCAGTGAGTCAGTCAGCCAGTCAGCCAGTCAGCCAGTCAGCCAGTCAGTCAGTCAGTCAGTCAGTCAGTCAGTCAGTCAGTCAGTCAGTCAGTCAGTCAGTCAGTCAGTCAGTCAGTCAGGCAGGCAGTCAGGCAGTCAGGCAGTCGTCAGGCAGGCAGTATTAGTCCGTCCGTACTCCGCGCATCAACGAGTCAGTAGCGCGCGGTGTTCGGACGGAAGGGCGCCTCGCAGTACTTCCACGTCCTGGGCCGCGTGTTCGGCCGCCCTTTTGGCCGCCCGCTCGGCCGGCCGGCAGACCCTTGTAGCGCCACTTACTCGGCCACTCGCCGTCTACTAATGACCGCCCATTTGCATGGCATGTGTCGCACGCGGTCAAGGGTGGACGATTTGCCGCCTCTGTTCGGGGCCCGACGCACTGTAGGCGCCCCGACTTATGCGTCCAGGTGCTCGACCTTGGTCACCTCCACCTCGTAAAACGAATGGGGGCGCTGCGCTGGCCGTGCCGGGCCGTGCCGGGCCGTGCCTCCCCCGGGGCAGGGCCCGTGGCCCCACGGTGGCCCATCGTGGGGGCCCTCACCCCGCCGTCTTGGGCTTTGTAGTTTACGACGGACGGCCCGAATGGGAGGCCTCGTTGGGGTACTTGTCGAGGTGCTCGTGTGTGGTGCGGGGAGTGATGCGCGCGTTGCGTCAGGCCGCTGTCAGGCCGGCAGGGGCGGCGGGCACCGCAGGCACCGCGCCTCGGGCAGACGAGCTCGCCGAAGGGAAGGGCAGGGCCGTCGAGGACATTTGGACGCCACGCCGACACGCCGCCACGCCACCAGTAACGTGATGCCGGCAAACTACCTCGTGCTCTTCTACGCGCCCGCCGACCTATGGCAGCCTCGCCTGCCTCACTGCTAAAACAAACAGCGCGGCCGCAGCAAAGCAAATATATTGAACGGCGCCGAAACACCGGCGATAGCGTGCTCGGCGCCTAGGCCATCGCGCTGGGGGCGAATCACCGCCATCGCAGCCAGCCGCCCGACCCCGTCCCGTCCGCCTTCGAGATGCGGCCTTACTTGGAGTGCTGAGCCAACACGCCCGGCGTGGCGTGCCCTGCCCTGCCGGCCAGCGCGACGGCGCACGGGCGGGGGCACTGCGGCGGGGCACCCCTGCCGCCAAAAAGTCGACGCGTCCGCCGGCACGAGACGAAAAACAGAAACAGAAAACTACAGCATCGGAAAAAGGAGTCGATCACCGATCGGAATGGGTTGGTGGTTGATAAAAATCAGGCCGTGGTGAACATTTTTCTGACTGCGGACGGCGGTCGATGGTGATCAAGGGCCGATGGTGATCAAGGGTCGATGGTGATCAAGGGTCGATGGTGATCAAGGGCCGATGGTGATCAAGGGTCGATGGTGATCAAGGGTCGATGGTGATCAAGGGCCGATGGTGATCAAGGGTCGATGGTGATCAAGGGCCGATGGTGATCAAGGGCCGATGGTGATCAAGGGCCGATGGTGATCAAGGGTCGATGGTGATCAAGGGCCGATGGTGATCAAGGGTCGATGGTGATCAAGGGCCGATGGTGATCAAGGGCCGATGGTGATCAAGGGCCGATGGTGATCAAGGGTCGATGGTGATCAAGGGCCGATGGTGATCAAGGGCCGATGGTGATCAAGGGTCGATGGTGACATCGAAAGGCGCACAGCCATGTCGATTCCTGCGACCAAAGCCCTTCATCCGCCCATCGAACTTCTTCCTGCGCAGTCCTATCGGCGGCCGAGGGTCCAGGCTGGCGGGGCGGTGCGCGGTGGCGGCGGGTCCAGGCCGCTAGAGTGTCAAGCACGCATTGTTCGGCGAGACTTCCTCGTTATTGTGGATCCAGGAAGCGCTTCTCTAGCTTTGTTTTGCTGCCGTTCTACTCTTGAACTTGGCACTTGTCGCGGCCCGGCGCGGCGCGGCCCGGCCCGACCCGGAGCCGCGACTCCCACACGCCCAGCCGGCCGGCGCCGCCTCGTCTCCCTCCCCTGCATCATTACAGTGTCGACGCGGCGACGCGAGAGCTGCGAACTTTGCCGCGTGTTCCGCGTTCAAGTTCAAGGAGGATTCCGCGCTTGGCGCGCTTGGCGGAGACCGAGGGGCGGCCCGGGTCGACGGTCGCAAAAAAAATAAAGTAGTGATGCTATTATGACGATGAAGTCGACATTTTTCGTCGGGTTGACACCTCGCTCTTGCTTTTTCGACGCACGTCGTCATGCCTTGAAGACCACCACGCTCATCAGCTGGAGCTCGGCTTCTCGGCTGGGTGCGCCGCACAGTGGGCCAGAAGACCGGTGGAGGCGGCCGAAACTCTAGACGCGTTTTGAGAGCTCCAGAGTCGCTGAATGTGACTCGAACCGATCGCCGGGCACTTGGTGGTCTCTGTTTCCTACTTCGGATCCCCGCTCGTGGTCCCGTCGCTCGCGGAAGGGCGTTCCACTAAACGGGCCTCCGCGGAAGCTGGAGGAGCAAAAACCCGCAAAAACGGTCGTCAAGGAGTGACAGGCCTATGAGAAATGTAGGCGGCGTGCTGGACCTGTCAGTCTGGTTTCTGGCTACTATTCCGTTCTCATTGCATCCGCGTCCGAAGGCTGCAGTACAGTACTGGAGCAACCCATTGACAAACGACGTTGCTCGCATTGATGATCAGTGAAGAAGCGCAGAGCAGTCGGTCGAGACGCGAGAGTCGAGGTAATAGAATTCTGGATTTTTCGGACTCGTATTAAGGGGAAGTCCACTCCGTAGATCAAAGCGATAGTGAGTGGCCGGGCAACTTCCTTCGAGTCGCTTCGCTACGCCGATGGTTCCCGATGGCTGCCGATGGTGGCCGGACCCAACAACCGAGGAGCAGCCTGCCATGGCTCACAGTGGGCCAGAAGACCGGCGGAGGCGGTCAAAACGCCAGACGCGTTTTGAGCTCCAGAGTCACTAAATGGGACTCGAACCGAACGTGTGACCCCACCGATGGATTCCTCGTTCGGAGGGCAATCCATTGGTGGGGTCACACGTTCGGTTCGAGTACTGTTTAGCGACTCTGGAGCCCAAAACGCGTCTAGAGTTTTGGCCACCTGCACCGGTCTTCTGGCCCACTGTGTGGCTGCAGCCTAGCCTGCCCCAATCCGTCACTTTGAGTTTCCAAACGGGCCGGAATGGGCTAAACGGGGCGAGGAGTCAGCTCGTCTCCAGTGTGCCGTGTCACCTCGGCGGGCGGGGCGGTGCATCCGCAGTGATTGGCTGCTAATGACGGCAGTGATAAGGCGCGACGTGTCGTGACGCCGACCACTGCGGTTCGGCCAACCGACTTGCCGGCCGAGCCGAACGCGAACGCATGCAAAGCGACACGCGACAAACCGCGCCGTTTGCGTCCGCGTCGTCGTGTTTTGGCTGAGCGATGCGAAGCCATGTGTACACCATGGGGTTGAAAGTTTTTCCTGTCTGCTGGGCTGCACTGTGCTGTCTGGGTGATGAAGT